TTTATATTATGCTCAAGTAGAATCGCGTCTTCGTTATGGTGTCTGTTTCTGGGGTGGTTCCACCCTCTCACATTCTGTTTTTATTTCACAAAAGCGTATTTTGCACAATATTGCTGGTGTACCCAGTGAACATACCTGCAGATATATTTTTTAACAGTACAAAATTTTAACTTTAAGTTCATTGTTTATATTTGATATGTGTATTTAGGTATGTTTTTAAAAATATAAGTAGTGACATACATGGTGTAAATACAAGTCATAAAAATAATATTTGGGTACCTTTTTCTAGATTGGCAATTAGGTACCAAATAAGTCACCAAATTATTTGGGGCCTAAAACTTTTAAAAAATTACCCATTGAATTAAGACAAGATAAAGTAACTTTTTATCAATTTAAAGTAAAGTTGAAATTATATTTAGTGACCAAATGTTTTTATTGCTTGGGTGAGTTTTTTGCTTCCTGGGTTAAGTTACATTTGTTTTTACTTTAAATATCTGCTATACGCATAAGTGACTATTGTTATACAATTTGTAATTGTCTCAAAACAAAATAAAACATCTAATCTAATCTATAATTATCACAAATGAGCAAAATTATTAGAATGCTCAATATTGAGTGAAAATGTGCTCAATAATTTCATCCAATTGATTCACTGCCTTCACTCACACCGATTTTTTACAGTGTAAAAAAGCTCTAAAATTTCTATAGCGAGTATTTTTAACACACCTTTGCAATGTTACATTATTAACTATCAATTATTTGTTTCAAGTTAATGAAGATTTGGATCCTGAAAAATCACAATAATTATAAATTAATATAAAACTTTTAAACGGCATGACTTTTTGGGAATTTAATTGTATATTTAACTAGAAGAAATCTCTTGTTACAGAAAAACTAATAATTTTATTTTTGTAAATAATTTCTCTGATTTGATCAAATGTTCTTGCATCGGACTCTGTTCTTCAAACGTATTATTTGTCCGTTAGAAAATTATATTATTTAGATCACAGCCAACATTTGTTTACTATAAATAAAATTTATCGGCGGCAAACAACCTATTCTCTGGGTGTATGGCATAATAATTATGAAACAATGTCCCGCCAGTGACAATGGACATTTTTCCGCTGCCGCCGAAGTCATTATTTTCACACACCATCGAGCGACCATCTTTGATCTTTGGCAGTGTTTTGAATGTGCGCAGACATATTTTCGTTTCGCCATTGTTCGGCAATGTTATTATCCCACCTGTCAGAGACCAGACAAAAGCAACTCATCCGTCACTTGAATGACCAATGGTAAGGGGCTCGGCCTAGTGCCAACCAATAGCGAATAGCTTGCGCGTGGGTTCCGTCACGGTTACGACAATCACTCTTGAAACAATGCCCATTTTCAGAGTCTTTTCACGCTAGATAAAGCTCGCGCGGTGTTCAGGCGCACTCCGCGTGCCGCACACTCGCAGGATTCAGCAGGGTCTCCTGCGTTTTTCAGGATTTAAGATTTCTGGTAAATCACATAGCTTAAATTACAAAAGTACTTAACTTTTAGTTTAGATTTAGTTAAATTTAGTTCGTTAAATCTATTTTAGTCACCTCATTTTTATTGTTTGAGATAAATTCTTTGGTCTGTTTTTCAGGGATCAAGATTTATTATTTCTCATACAAAAAATAAAATATTTTTACATAATCCATTTTAGAAGCACCAGCTAGACTTTAAAATTAGTCTGTTTGAATGTTCTATTCACAAAAATTGGGTAAAAGTAAATAAATTTTAAGAATAGCAGCAAAACATTTAGGTACATATTAATTTGTGCATAGTTACTTGTTATTTGTCCGAAATTTACGTAATTTTGAATTAAAAATGTTTCTATTAACATCTTACGTTTATTTCTATCATTCATATATTTTTTTAATAGAAGTATGAATTGAGTTAAAGAATTTTGAAGAATAAAAAAATATATTTCTTTGGAGATGATACCTTCTAAGTATCTAATATTGTTTCGGCAAGCTGAATTTATCATTATATGTGCTAAATATTATGTACAATATCATATTAGTTTCCACAGTCATAAAAATGGGGGGAAGATTGTTTACAGGGTGGTTAATTGTGTAAACAGAAAAAGTTTATTTATGACTTTTGAATTAAACGTTTATAAACTGCGTTATTATTACCAGAACGTTTTGGCATCGCATCCTCTCATTCCTTATCACAGTCAAATAACTCACACGAAATCTGCAATCGGTAAGTTGAATAATTTACAAGTTATGGCCTTATAAACAAATTAATTAATTATTACATAGTTTGGACGATCCCGAGGATCTTCCACAATCGCACTGATTTTTTTCGTGGTAGATTTCATAATAATACATTGAAATCTATCTTTTTTTTTTTAATTTCAAATTTGCAACCTGGATTCTTTTTTTATTTTTTAGCCTCAGTTGCAAAATGACATATACGACGCACGAGCGTGATATAGTTATATATTATTACATATTCGGAAAGCTTATGAAAACCGCTTTAGGATAAAAAAAAATCGTCAACATTCGTTGAAAAACAACGGAGTTACAGACTGTCAAAGTTGACGGCCGATTGTTAAACAAATTAGGTTGGCAGAGGCAAAAAAATACTGTCATAACCGGCAACCGTGAATTTACGTAAAAATTATACAATTAACCACCGTGTAAACAATCTTCCCCCCATTTTTATGACTGTAGAAACTAATATGTTATTGTACATAATATTTAGCATCTATAATGATAAATTCCCAGCTTATTTTCCTGGCCTATGAATAATGGCATTATTCGTTGTTGCTCTTGATTGACAGTATAAAAATAATATATGATTTGTTCATAAAACAATTCTGAGGGAAACCTACTTTTTATGAAACAATATTTTTAAAGCAGAATTTTTCCAAGTCTGTGATTTTTTTGTAGCCTTGTCATACAGTTCACTCCATACGACAATTCCACATCTACTATTGACTCAAGCCTTTACTCCAACATGACTGATTATTTCATTAGTTATTGTAATTCCTGAATTTTTAGTAGTTTTGTTGAATTTAAACTCAAAATAATTCCATCTTCTAGAAACTCAATCAACCTCGTGTTTAAATATGTTTCAAATGTTTTCGCAATTTATGACAGATATACTTAGATCTACAGGGTCGGAAAGTCCCCATGGTTCATCGGCCGTTACGTGAGAGCTATAAAGTAAGTCATAGAAATCCGTGCGATAGCGAAATATGGCTATAATGAAGGCGTCTAATAGTCACCGCCCATTTCGCCCTTCCACAAATAAGAAGTGGAAATATTGAATTAAGAATATCCTAAGTGTTTAAAAAAATGCCCACCTTTTATAGTTTTATAGTTCTATTATTTTTTAGTAAATTTAATTGTGTTAGTAGGTACTTTGTTCTTATCTACTGGCCAAAGAAAAAATATTTTGATTGAAACTAATTTTATTGGGAATTATTTATTAGGTGTCGTAATTTCTTTAGCTATTTTAACAATAAAACAATTGAAGGTATCACATTTCATGGTATCATTTACGATTTTCTTACCTAAATTGTTTTCAATTTCATCACTATCATTAGTTGTTACTTTTTTTCTATAACTTCATTTATGATATTCCATATTATTTTGGAGTCTTTTGACTCTGAAATTTTGATCCTACAATACGTACTTTAGTTTACTAATTGTAAGTTAACTTATGTAATACATCCTTGGCGTTTTAAAATTGATACCTACAGGAACTTCTTAGTCTACTTTTAACTGTAGGTATATCTTTTATTCCAACCTATTAGGAATAGTACTAAAACTTAAAAGTAGAATTATATACAGGGCATCTCATATAAGACGGATTGTAAGATCAACACAAAAAAGTTTTTCAAACAAAAATTGCACCAAATCAATTTCTTCACATCTTAAAATTCTACGTACTTATTCAGTAATAAGCATAAGTATTTCATTCCTTCCAGGCATTATTTAACTTTATCGTATTAACTATGGAACACTATATTATTGCATTTTTCTTATACTTAAACCTAAAAGTGTTACAAGTAACTGGAATGACTCTACCGATGACTATGGGTAGGTTATCCCTATATTTAACTTAAGGTAACGGCGCATGCTCAACGCACGTTTGTAGATTAGAGTCTTCCTCTGTTCTATAGTCCGTGGTAGAGTCCTGCGCATATTCACTGCTGCAGTGTCATCGTCATTGCTTCACAAGTAGAAGAATTTTTAAACTGTCCAAATAGTTTGCTATTTAGTTCTGTTATTTGTACACATTTGACATGTGGCAATACTATGAATATGTTACTTTGATACTGTTATTAACAATAATTTTAAAACAGAGAAACTATCATTGGTGGATTGGTAGATTAAAAAAATTCTTTTGTCTCGAATACAATGAGGTAATTATAACACTTTTTATAGAGCAGTATTTTTTCTTAATAAAATATTTAAAGATATGTTTCGTAAATTTAATAGCGAAAAAACATGAATATGAGGGTCAGTAAATAAACCAAAATGTTGTGCAGGTTGTCAGAGCAAATTTATAGCATTGCTGAATATCAGTGTTAATATTAACGTTGCAACAAACTTTAACATGTCATTAAAATTTAAAAAAAATCAGCAATATTTTTTCTAAAACGATTCTTAAGGGATATACTTTCCTTCAAAATAAAATGTAAAATACAACATTTAATTATGGCTAATGGTACAGTGCACTACCCTTTTAATAAGTCGCTCTTAAAGTGTGTCACAACAACACTGTTACCCTTTATATTTATAATCAAATTCATAAACTACAGAGTCCGTGGGCGCAATAATAACATGAAATAATCAATTTCTTGTCAGTTTTTACTATTTTGTTGAAATGCAACAATAATTATTTATTGCCGCGTTATTTTCAACGTTTTCTATTAGTTACCTAATAGAGCCGTAAAAACAATTAGAATGCGCGAAACAGGTTATTAAGATAATACCACTAAAAACTCCTACCTTGCTCGAATCATGCTGTTGCGTAAGCAGTTGTTCTCTGACCATTTGTAGTTGGAATATCAGCTCGGATAGTTTTCTGTCCTTTTCCATGTAATTGTCGCCAGAGAGCGCCTGCTGAATAGCCGCCGTGGGTTCTACATCTCTGTAAACAGATCCTTATCTATAACCTTTTATTGTGGAAAGAAATGAAAAAAAAGTTAAATCGGACTACTATAAACATGTATCACCGGACAAAGGTAGGGACTTACAAAGTAAAACGTACACTTTCTCAAAGACATGACAAAACGCTGAAAGAAGAAATAATAGGGGAGACAAGCGTCGCGTCGGTTGTAACAGAGCTTCAATTGTAACAAACATGAATGTACAAGACCAGAACCGCCGTAGTTATTGCCTACTATACCTATACTTTTCAGCGATGTTTAAAATAAGTAGGCTACTATTCTTATTATCCTTATTAATTGATAATCATTAATCTTGTATTAATTAATTTTAGTTGGAAGATACGTGAGCATACAACATGTGTTTTTGATACAAATGAGTCAAATTACACAATATGGCGTCTGTTGGTGTTGACTGTAACATGTACCTTTATTGGTGTAAAGAAAATCCTTCAAACATTTTCGGCTTGGAGATTAATAGTGCAATTTTTGTTACAATAGACAATTAGCACTTATTTACTCCTAATTATCCCTTTACAATCATATATTAATATAATTAATATTATTTTGAAAAAAGGCATTATTAGATACGTGTTTGTTACTTTTTGTAGCTTGATACAACTGTACCTGAACACCAGTTAATGTCAGTTGTAACAAGCAAGTAAAATTTACATTTTTGTAAGAATTTTTCAATTAGCTATTTGAAGGTAAAATTAAATTTAGATTTAATGAGCATACAGGTACGTTTGTCTGATAGAACTTCAACAAAATACTTAAAACACATTAAGCTCCAAGATGTGTAATTATTATTGAAATCGACACCGGTCCCCCCTATTGTTCAACAGAACGCTCAGCTTTCATAAAAGATTTGCAAGATAAGAGCTCTGCGTTTAGCACAATTGCTTGGTAAATCTCATACCTCAGTTCCTCGCAAACTCCTTGTAATATTTTCACATATGAATTGTTTGCATTCAGCTCTTGTGAGAAATAGAAGTTTATGAACTGAGATTGTGAGCTGAGCTATTCCTAGGTAGCTGCATTTTATGCATTTTTATGCCATGTTCCGGAATGGCAACTGATTTATTACGGAGTCTTAGTTGAATAATTCAGTAAAGATGATGATATATAAGGTAATTTTATGTAAATGGAAAAATATTCGTATCTAGTAGAATCTCGAGTTTGATATTCAACTATTTTGGCATAGGCATGAGTTAACTGCTGAATTATAGTGCTGCTTCATCCAATATTGAAAATATTAATGAAAAACTAATTAACAACGATTTCTTAGAACAACAAAGCAGTAAAATGGAGAAAGTATTGGTAAAAATGTATTACATACCATAAAATATCCAGGAATCGCTATTTTTTTTTGTTAGATTTATAAGGTAAATTGCCTAATAATAGCATCTCTAAGAAAAAGTGTCAGTATTAAAAAAAACATGGGAAAATATACTACTATGCTTGAACACAGGATGTAAATAAATAAGTACGAAAAAAAATGGAATGATATAATTTATAATATCAGTAAGTTTTAGTTACACCTAACTATAGGTATACGAAAGAGGCATTTTCACTATTTTTTTAAATATCACCAAATATTCAAATATTTTTTCCCAAAAATTTGATTATAAGCAATTAAGGGGGAGATTATTCGGTCTGTTTTAAATTACTTTATTTATTTAAACAAATTTGTTCCCATGCGTATTTATCTTAAATTAAAGAGTTGTTGTGAAACACGAATCAATAATGCGGTTCTTTCTTTAATTCTTGAATATCTTCTACACGTGTCTTTGCACTAAAGTTTTTAAATTACTCCAAATACAAAAATCTATAGGATTTAAATCGGATATTCGAGAAGGACAAAATTGAGGTGCGCCAAGATTCTTCATTTAAATATTCTCGTGCTCTTGCACGCTGAGCTCTGACACCTAGTGGTACATCTTCAAGAAGTACTGAACTTTTTCAAAAAAAAATTGTCTTTCTAACAGTCCATATTTCGTGAAATCTCGAAGTAAATTTGTGGATAATTTTTTATAGGTGTGTTAAATTCCAGATTACATGGTAAGTGAATTAATAATAATTTTCTTCAAAAGATGACACAGTCACACATAAAAAAAAGTTGCCTGTACTCTTCATGCGACATTTGTTATCCGTATTGCCTCCTGATCACGAATCCGGTGTCAGAATTGAGCTACCACATCATAGGAATTCCCTAACCTCAAAAAACTGGTCAAAAATAGCAATTCACGAAAACGTGCTAGGAAAAAAAATTTTTTTTTCTATATTCAAATGTTCATTTATATGGTTAAGACCCCACCAAACGTGAATCTGCGGTCAGAATTCATGGTTCTTTTTCTAACCTCAAAAAAAAAAACGGTCAGATATCACGAATTTTCAAAAAATAACAGATTATCGCCAAATTTGGTATACGGGGGTTTTCGGGATCGCTAATCATAGATCCGCAAAATTGAAGATGGCTGATCCGAGATGGCCGACCAAATTTTAAAAAAATAACACATTCGCGCCAAATATGATATACCTACGGGGGTTTTCAAGGTTGCTGATTGCGAATTTGAGGTCAGAATTCCGAAATTCATTTCATAATATCTTTTTTTACTTTATAACTTTAGTAGGTACCCAATCATTTCTGACACCGGATTCGTGATCAGGAGGCGAAATACTGCGGACAATATACGTAGCATGAAAGTACAGGCAATTTTTTTTATGTCACTGTAATTAAATTTCGATAAATGAATTTCTAAATTTAGTATTTGTAGTTTGTCACGAGCTATTTATAAACACCGCCACCGCACTGAAACAAAACCATCTGTAGAAAATAATTGTAACGATCTTTTGTTTATTGAGTCTATAATTCCATGTTATCAGGCTAACACTGTACTACTATCACAGTCGTCTATGACTTGTTTTCATTATACAGATTTGATGACCCATAATCTTCAGGAAATAAACGACATTTTTAAACATAACTGTAACAATGTTATTGTTTAAATAGGCTTAATCGGAGAGCAATAATAACTCTTACATAAAACTCAGTTTCCGATATTCGATAAATAATTGATTTATTATTCTTTTGAAAGAGAAATTATAATCATGAATGGATGTATTGATACTACAAAGGCATATAAATGTTGTGGGAAAAATGGGTTATGTCACATTATCTGCAGTTGATGGAAAGGGGGGTCAAGGCAATACAGAGGTTACCATACTATTGTGACACTGTATAAGCATATGTAGTGCGCATATCTTTGGAGCACGTACTTATGGAGGTTAATGTCAAACGCGTTTTTTTTAGAGTAAAAAGGATATTTGAAATAGCTAATGAGCTAACTTAATCGTCACCAGTTGCCCTTTGTTCTATTGCAGGTTTTGGTTGGAATCTCAGTGCAACAAGACAAGAAGTGACGTAGTTATAACATTTATCATAATTTTCTTCTAAAATTGATAACGCGATATGTGCTGATATATTAAACCGCGTCTGATGGTGTCGACTTTAAAATGTGTATAAGATAGATTGTAACATATTAAACATTTATATTTGACAAACATTAATTTCCTTCATTATTCTAATTGTTAAATTGTCAACAGTGCAATTCTTCAATACACACTTCAATAGATACCTTTTGTTTCCTTGTGTCAAATATTTATTTTAATTAGGTTTACATCTTTAAAACAAAGTAAAAATGCAAGAGCTAATAAGCTTATTTATTAAAAAATAGCTTTAATGAGGGAATATAATTACTTGTTTTGTTTGCAATAATTGCGATTCTCAGAGAGCAATATTTTTGTAACAATATTTACATCTAACTTATCGCGATATATAAGTATTTGAAATATTATTTATTTTATACCATTTTAGGATTATTTAAAATTTATTTTGGCAATCATTGTTTATTCTGTTTGTTGTAAATATTTATTCCTAATGTAAATAATAAAAATCAAAAATGACATAATATTTACATTATGTTACAACTGAACATTGTTGTGTTACAGTCAATACCGGCTCGAAGCCAGTTGTAACAAATAATACTACTAATTAAATTAATTATTCGGAAAATTCTCTTCATTTAGTTCTTTAAATCAAATTCAAATGTGGATTTATCAGACATATACGTGCTGATATCATATAATTAAAAAAAGTTCACATACTAGAGATACGATTATGATTATCTTTTTTGTTACAATCGTCACATGTCTCCTCTAGAACAAGACATTTAAAAGAATAAAATCGAAGCGAAAATTAACTACCCTATTTTATGTTACCGTAGAAATATTGAACTATTCTTAATGTTGCAAACTTTAGCACAGTGATTTTTACTTTTTGTAAAAAAAATAATTAATTAAAAAAAGATTATACATATTTGTACTGTTAAATCACAGGGTGATTCACAAACAGTAACAAAAAATTAAAGCAACAATAAATTTCGAACAAATTACATTTTCGATACTAAAAAAATGTCGCGCCTGTGTTCATGGAAATGGAGTTATTTTTGAGCATTCAAATAAAATCATTAATATGATGAGTATTGTTATCAATTTCTTTATTCGATTAAATAACCGAAAGATTAGTGTTTGTCATGTCATTTAAGTAAAAGTGTTATCAGTTCGTTATTTAAGTTTTACTCGAAAATCAGGCATTTCTCGAAAAACATAAGAAAGTAGTAATTTGTAGAAAATTGAAAGACAAATCCGAAAATATCATGATTGTTATTGTAAAACATTGGCATATTATTTTATTTCGAAAAATATGCTGCCGATACCCTGTATCTCCGCCACTGGTACATCTAAATTTTAGAAAGAGGCCTCAGATTTTGGACAATGTTTACAAACATACATGTGCCCAATTTTAAATTATTTCACTTACAAGTTTTTAAATTATTTAAAAAATTTAAAAATATTTTTTTAAGTTTAACACCCTGTATCTTTTTAACGAAGCGTCCTAGATAAAAACTTTATACGAATGAATCCCCTTAAAATTCACCAAAGAATACGAGGTTTCATTTTTGGTCATCGTTTGTGAATCACCCTGTACTTAATATTATTAAAATAATAAGGATTATGACCAAATAGTTCTTCATTTTATCTACATCATTTTTAACATTTTCAAGCTTCTCGGAGATATGAATACGATTTAAAAACGAAATGTATGTAATCAGTGTTATGTCTGCTATTATTAAAATTTATTGTTTATCCTGTACACGCTGACCTATAAATTCAGTTTTTAAGCCAGTGCAAATTTCTAAGGACGATTAATGCGTCACTCACGATACGAGTGATTAAATCAATTTTAACACGACACAATAATGGTTTAATTAAAATTCATGAGTATTAGAAATTCATTATTACTATTAAATACTCGAAGTGTTGCGAAATTCATTATAATAAGGGTAATAAATTAAGAAAAAACTTTACCAGGATTCATTTACGCAGAATTTGACAAAATGGAAAATGCATAGATAATGTTTTTGAATTACATTAGGGAGGAATTATAATTAAATTTTAATAACATACTAAAATTGCCAAAGATTTTATTTTACAAAACAAAGATAAATAGACCCACTCAGTAGTAAATGTAATAATTGGGTACCAGTTTGAGTCTGTAAAATTAAAGAAATGCAGAGGCATAAAATTTATTTTCACCAAGGTTTTGAATCACAAATGAACTTTGTGCTCATAAGTCCAATAATAAGCGTAAGACTGACGTGTCCTGTCGAGACCCTTAACTGGATCCATTTTTTTACAAACTTCAATGATAGGTAAGCGTTTCATAAATGCAAAATTGTGAAAACAGCAAATACTCAAGGAAACACTATTAGAAGTGGTCCACAAGAAACAATTTCATGTTGTTGAAGTATGTGATCGGAATGCGGATAACAAAAACAAAAACAAAAAGGATACAGAAATCAGCCAATTCTCGAAACACCTATGGCATCTGTCAGCAAGAAAAGACTATTTTGATTTTCAAGTAAAAAAGACAACGGAAGACTCTATTAACTACTTAAATGTAAAGCAAGTTCCATACTGCAGAGTTGCTTGCAACAACAACATATAAAATTGATTTTCTTTACGAACCAAAGACATTAAAACATCTGTTACGCTCAAGAAAATTGTAGTGTGTCTCTATGTGTCAAAAAAAAGAAAAATTCTTATTGAAAAACCTAACATCCTGCATTGTCGATTAAAATATTTAACGTTAAGAAATATCGAGAAGAAGGACGCTTTACTTTTTTTTGGATGAAACTTGATACGAAGATGCTTAGTTTTTAGTGGTTTAGTACCAATTGTGCAATGTTGGTATAAGGCTCTTTAATTTCAGCAAACCACATAACAGTTGTATACCGGTCTGACTAGGTAATTCTTTCACATAGATTAAGTCGTAATTGGTTGGCTGTGGGGGCGTACGTGCCCCGTTGCATTTTTTGTGAACCGACGGAATACCTAAAGCGCTTTGCTGTTTGTTTAGTTTTATTTTTATTATTATTCCACTCAAACCTTTGGTAAGAAGTAGACGGAATATTACAAAATAGAAATGGTGTACAGTGTTGAACAAAAAATTAATATTATTAAATTGTATTGTCGTGCAGAAAGTGCAGAGGAAGTCGTTGGTCGATTTATATTTTCATACACCGACGAACCAGTCACTGCTAGAACCGTTTTGAATATATTTGATAAGTTTGAGGAGTGTGGATGTGCTAATCGGTGTACGAAATGTAGCAATCAGGAACCTCGTCAAATTCCTGAAGCAAGGCAAGAAAAAGAGGTGCTTTTGTGGAAGTAAGTGAGCTGTGTCTTCCTCCCAAATTTCCGAAGAACTTGACATTCCAAGTTGTACAGTTCGTCGCATCTTAAAAAAGAATGGTTACAAAGCCTATAAAATGCAAACTTCTCAAAAAATTATTCCTGGTGCTCAAATAAGGCGTATGGAGTTTTGTGAATCCATTAGGGAAAAAATAGAGGAAAATAATGAATTTACTAGGCAGATTTTATTTACAGACGAATCATCTGTTTCCCTACTTGACCGTCATAATCCTTCAGTGGTCCAATATTGGTCCCGGGAAAACAAGCACTTAAGTATACCATTAAGAACGCAGTACCCTCAAAAGGTAAATGTTTGGGCTGGCATTTTAGGCGATAATATTGTGGGTCCCTTTTTTATTGATGGTAACTTAAATGCTGAAAGATATTTGCATTTATTACAAAATAGTGTTGTACATGATGTACGAAACTTGGATGTAAATTTTGAGGAAATTTTATTTCAGCAAGACGGATGTCCTGCACACAACGCAAGGCCAGTTCAAGATTATTTGGAACAAACTTTTCCTTGAAGACTTATTTCCACAAGAGGTATCATACCTTGGCCTCCTCGATCTCCAGATCTGACACCCTGCGACTTCTTTTTATGGGGTCATTTAACGCAACTTCTCTAAAAACGTCGACACGAAAGAGCCGCAAATTTGGACGAATTACGGCTTAAAATTAAAAATGTTTTAGGATCAGTTACTCCTGAAATTTTGTCAAATGTTCGTCAAGAATTTTAAGACAGATTAGGGTATAGTGAAGCTCAAGCAGGCGGTTTGTTTGAACACCTTATTAGTTAATAATAAGCTTTTATTTAATAAGCATTTGAAAATTCATTATTTTGCTTAAGAATTACCACTCATTTTATTTTAGAATACCGTTTTAGTTATTACTAAAGGTATCGAAAATAAAAATATGGTGTATTATACAATATACCGGATATTGTATAATATTCGTTTAAGATTGCCATATGTATGACTTGAACTCTATTGAGTAGACCCAGGACACAATTAAACAGTAAGTACCTTTTGATAAATATAGTCTATAAAATAAAAAAAAATAATTTTTAAATTAAGATAAAATTACTTTAGTGACATTTTTAGGTGATATGTCATTTTAAAATACTGTTGCCTTAATCCCGGGCATTAACATTTTTTTGTCCAATCTTAAAGCAAACTTCGTGATTTCTGGCAAAATTATGCTTGATAAAAAATTACGTATCAAGTATTTTATGTTTCATAAATTCGTGTGATTATATAAAGGAGCAAAAATCCTCATTTATATTTAAAATGATGATAAGCGACACTGCTACACGACTACTATAAAGTCAGAAACTGGTAGCTCGTAAAATTTTTAGTGATAATATTAAAAATGGATATAAATGAATCTCGAAAACATGTAGTTAAGATTATTTGAACACATTATTTATGTTGTTTTTTAAGAATTCCGCCAACGTTATGCAAATTATTTATATGTTAGCTCAATTTTATAAATTTGGGTTCTCGGAAGAACAACACTTGCGGATACCATAAAAGAAAAGCCATTTACAAAATACTTAATTCAACAATAATACAATTAAGGTTTTCAATAACAAAAATCTTCTACGTACTACATGATAAGATAATATATAATAATTAATTAAGCATTTTTGAAACTTCTAAGAAAATTATAATTTATTAATTTTTTATCATATAAACAATGTAATTTATGTATATTTAAAAGGTATTTTCCTGTGTCAAACAGTTCTTTGGTGCTATACAAAAACAAGAAGTAATTATACAAAATAGAATATTTTATTACAATTTTATTTCTTTGCGAAATGTCTTTGCTACTTTGTCTCCTGGCACATGTACCTACTGACATATACTTTTTAGGTTATATCTCATCTACACTCATAACACGTCTGTAGATAGACTGATGATTTTAGCTATTTACTAGATATTGTGGGTGTAATTCAATACTGGGAATTTCGAATTCGAAAAGAAATTTGGTGTTCGAGCTTAAAATTTGTAAACAAAATAATAAATAATTAAATAAATAAAAACGTAGTATTTCTACGCATTCGTAATAAGGAACAATGGTCAGTGATCAATTAGTGGGTGACTCAGTGAGCACTCAGGGTGGTGAACGAAAGTATTGCAAACTCTTTGAGGAACGAACATTCTGCACGATAACGCTAGTTACATATTCATAAATTCTGAGTCGTACTTACGAGTTATGGGTCGAATTGGGCGTGGAGGACGGCGTCGGCCTCTTCTCCTCTTTGATTGTGCTGCTGTTAATTTTAGACGTTAATCTTTTAAGTACGTCGTCCATGGATCGCTTTAACGGGTGAGAGGAACTATTGTTATTATGTAAACTACTATTATTATTATTATAATGAATGTTCGCCTTTATGTCTGACGTGGGACTACTACACTCCGAGGAAGAGTTCCTCCGTCTGTCCGTCTGCTCGGCGTGGAGCGACAGGGCGGAAATACTAGTCGACATGAGGACGCTCGGTTCCGAGGAGCACATCATTTTCGCGGTTTTGTTAGGTGGAGTCCGAATCTCGTCCACGTCATCGACGTCGCTTCCGGACGCACTTCCCGGCGACGAGGACTCCGACAGTTTGTAGAAGGGCGCGGAGTTGTGCACCATCGTGTTAGTGTCCTCCTCACAGATGTCACTCAGGTTGTTGCTGCTCGTCTCGTCCAGGTCGGTAAGTCCTCCTCCTTCGCTACCGCTGCCGATGGCCGATTGATGCAATGAAGTCGCCGTCTCCGTCGAGTTGGTGGAGCCTTCGTGGAGTTTCGTTGGAGGGGACTTCCGCTTCGAAGACATATTTCTGGAACAAGTATGCCCATTAGCGTGTTTACAAATAAAATAGCCATAATGGATAGGTAGAAACAGATTCGGGGAATTAAAAGCTTGACAACAAAGTAATTAACTAAAAGATACACCAATTTACAAATGAATTCGGTTGTTTAATGTCACATATTTAATGAGTGATGAAAAGTTCTTTAAATATAATTTGTGTGTTAAAAAAAAAAAGAAAACGGAACTCAAATCAAAAAATACACATCAGTATGTATATTGAGTACTATTCCTAAATCATTAGAATATATATTCCCAAGTAAGATCTAGATTAACTTTTCAACAATGTATCTCAGATAGTAACTAGTTTGGTTTGCAGGCTTTTATGACAGTTGTCAATGGTTCAACAATTTCCGGGTTGATTGTGATCGGTTTCTTCAGAAGAAACCCTGAAATTGGAGATTAAATCTTCTGGTTGATATTTATATTTGCTCTGTACAGTGGTTCATGGCATTCCCATGAAGAGTCTTCCCCAAAATCTCCCTCTCACCAGAATTCCATTACTAGTTAAGCTTATCGCATGTCTGCTGATTCTTTTACGATGTCATCTTTCGAGTGACATCTGTGCTCTTTTAAGTTCGTACTGACCTGTCGTCCCATTTGTCCAATGTATACTTTTCCTGATATAAATGGGATGCTATGTACACCAGGACCTTTGAGTACATCGTTTCTGCAGCTAGTCTTAGAAAAAACTGTCCGTTGAGTTGCTGTAGTAGAAACATTGGGTTTTCTTGATGATGTATCAGTACTTTCTTGTTATTATATAACCTTTCCTACGACACGTGCATAAACGATCTATTCGTAGGCCTCAGTGTAACAGCACTCCTTATAAATGCGGAAAAGTATACATTAGACAAATGAAAATACACATCACACCGAGGTTAAATAAGAACAAGTGTCACTAGCAGAATAACAATGTAAAAAATCAGAGGTTGCAGATCACAGGACATATACAGGAAGGCAATAGATATCCAAAAAGATTAGAACTAACTGGAATATCATGGACCTGTGCACGTAGCGAATACAAATACCAGTCGGAAGGCTTTATCTTCAGTTTCCTTTGAAAGAGAGAGTGGTATGTTTCTTAAATCATCAAGAGGTCTAAACCCATCAAAAAGTAATTGTTTTACTCATACCTTAAACATATTCTCATATAAATACAACTTTGATAAGAATGTTGAAGAAATAAAAAATAAAATTCTCGTCACATATTCATTTTCAACATCAAAAAGCAATAAAATGTTTGGTTTTGTTACTGGTGCTTGTAACAGTTTGAAGCCAACTAAACAAATACTTTACATTTCATTATCTTTATTATCCTCCAAGACTGAAATCCAAATCATCAAAATACTGAAGGAAAATGAAGAAATTACCATACAACTTACATATTGGACATAATGAAGTCAGAACATAACCAAAGTAAGGTAGCAGAAGAGAAGGAGGATTTAGTTAACTCGGCAAAGGTCAGCATCCAATGGATCGTCTTCTGCTTCAGTTTTCAGGCATCAATTTTATGAGAAAAGTGAAGGAGCAACTATGGGTTTATTCTTATCCCCAGCTTTAACCAATATTTACATGGAAGCTGGAATTAGCAACTCTAAAACTAAAATATTGGTTCATATGTGAACAGTACATTTATTGAATCAACAGAATTGTTAGTATAGAACCCCTAAGTGATGGTAATGTTCTTAATATTCTCGTAATATTCTTCAACAAACTTAACTTATACTTATAGAAAAGCGTCAGAAAACCAAATCCAAAAGAACGATCTGGAAACTGCAAGGGGATCTATGTTTCAGTGTATTTCAGTGGATAATAATTTCGTTTTTGAGATACTCTATATAGGTATTAGCTAAACAATTGAACAGTTTTTTCCATATTACCTAAGGAATTTTGAGCTTTTGACAATTTGCTGATAGTGGTATGTGAAATATAAATCTCATATATTATTCTGAATCAGTTCATCAGTATAAATCTTGAACCGACTGATAAAAAGCTCTAGTAGCTCTAGTAGCTCTCAATATTAGTGAGCTTCAACTTAGTGATGAAGAACAAATGGGTAAATAGCATAATTAAAAGTCTTAACTTTTTAATCGAAAAGGTTGGATTAGAAGCAAGCTAATTTTTCACTGTTCTTTAAAGTTAAAAACATCTTATTCAACATATTTCCACAATTCATGAAACTTATTATTTTTCCTTTCTTTAACTACACGTATCTACAGATATCTTAGATATTGCAATTTATTTGACGTTTTTTTCTAAACAAATACCGTCTGTTATTACTATTACTGTCACAACATCTACAATCGGATCCCAAAATAATGGGCAGTGATTTCATCTTTAATCCGGCTCACCATTTTTAGCAGTTAACACAAAGAGAAGTACGAACCGTTTGTAAATTCTTCGTATAAAACTCCCAGAGCAGTGGGTAAAGAGCGATAATCCCGCTCGACCCCGCTCCATCCGAGGTCATTTTTTTCTGCAAAGGATATTGTCGTGCGCTCCCAGAGCAGTCGATATTGCACAGTTTTAGGATATTATTCTGCTGCGTTTGGCGTGTACCAGATATTCTTCTGCTGCAGCAAATTTCGCAACTTCCGACAATAAAAAAAATTCAGGCTGCTATCTCACAGGATCAAAATTTGCCTAGAATATCTAGAAGGGTGCTTTTGCGAACTATGCGAGGAAATAGTGAGATCGCGAAAAAACTATTTAAGACAAGTATTAGAAGCTTGAAAACTAAATCGTAGAATATATTACACGGATGAAACATGGATAAATTAAAATCATACGGTGACAAAAATGTGGCACGACGGCGACGGCAATATTCACCGTCTGGAAAAGGGCGGCGCCTAATAATAACTCATATTGGAAGTACAGCAGGATATTTGGAACAGGGTGTTTATTATAATTGATAAAGTGTGCGTGCGTATTAGGTAGGTGTAAGTGGGTGGTGGTAGACCATCGCCGTCCGAAACGACAATAGTTGTGAAGAGGATGACAGATGAGTCTAAAAACCTTTTAAAGTAAATATTCACCGCGAACTTATTTTTTATAATTTTCTGTTCTTTGACCCCTTCTCAAGTTTAGTAGTTCGCCTGTGGAATCTTTTCCCTGCACCGCTCACCTCCCTTACTTGTTTAAGTGCTGGATATGAATCACTGCCCATTATTATGGAACACGGGAATAGTATAATATTTTCAATGGTAGTGTCACACACCCCAAATATGCCAAATATGTAAATGCTGGTTAAATTTTTATAATTTAAGGGCCTTTCCTTCCAAGTTTAAGCGAGCTGTAAATATAATAAATTATTCTCTACCTTCGCGTCACCCAGTCAGTCATTAACCAAGTAACAGATTTAATTTCCTAAATCAATTTGGAAATGTGTAACACGAATTCATAAACATATCCTTCGCTGTTATGTAGCACAAAGGCAATCTATTTCCAAAACATACCACATCATTAAACACCTTTTTTGTGTAGAGCTGGCAGCCTGTAATTACGCTCCCCGCTTGCTGTTTCCTCTTCCAAAATGAATATTTAGCGTTCCTTGGTGTGACATCTTCGACTCGACCAATCGTAGACTTCAACTGACCACTTAAACCACTATCATCGGGAATCAAGGAACTATTTAGAACTATAATTACGATTTACTTCACAATTTCCGCGCACAAATAACTACAGATAGAATTAGCATAACTCGAAGCAATCTCGGACGGATCTGGCCTCGCCAGCTAACTATGTTAAAATCAAGAATGCGTCCTGATCGTGGACTCCTCCAAATAACACTGTTTATCCGAGAACAATCGTGGATCAAAGGGGTCACGTTGCCATTATCTTTATTCTGAACTATAATAATTTAATTTAATTTAATCGTAATCTAAAATTATGGAAAACAGAACAGATACACGTGAGATCAGCATGCGAGTGTTTGGGCGAACACGGTTTTTGAATTTCCATTCCCTCGGAAATATATTTTCATATCAAACATTAATTAATTTTTCATAGCAGCGCGAAATATATCATGACTCATACTGTATATTAAACAACAGAAGTTACCAAATATGCGAAGTCATTAACAAAAGGCTTTTGTCATGGTTTATAGTCGTCAAACACAACGAATGAATTTTTACGAAATTACTTAAGTATAGGCATCTACAGAGATTTGCAAATGTGTAAATAAATTTTAGATAGGAGATTATTAAAACATTAAAAGGTCACGTGTCCAGTCATATCCAGTTTTAATAACATTGTTTCACAAATTGTTGTTGTTGAAGAAATTTTCTGTAAACTTTTCAGCCATTCATTTATATTGCAGTGTAATTATACAAATATGATGCCCATTTCGTTTAAGTATTATCTAATTATCTCAATCCATGTGTTGTCATAGCCGAAGTGTAAACTCAAACAGCACTATTCAATCGGAATTTTAAGCACAACCAAATTTCCGTCATGTGTTGTTATAGTTGAAGTGTAAATTGTTTCTTTAAATTAAAATAACATATATAAACTGATTTAACTTTACTAACTTATACAGGGTGTTCCTAAATAAGTGTCGCAACGGAAAACTGTAAATTCCTCTTGAAAAAAGAAACATTATTTTCCTTCTCCATTTTTCTCTCCGGGCTTTCGTTTTCGAGATACACGAGATAAACTTAAATTTTTTTTTAGTTTTTCGCCAATATCTTAGGAATCGTTTGAACTATAGGACTGAGCTTTTGTACACACATTACCACTATTAATAGCTACTTTTTTGCACCCTTCTCGAATTCATTGGACGTGCCAGTGGTGGAGATTTTAAGGTATTGTAAGGGTTTTTCCCCTCTAAATTTTACGCCACTGGAAAAATTGACTTTTGACAGCAAATTCTAAAGCGCCAATGAATTTTACACAATAAGAGTTCTCTTGGTTCATTGCTCTAAAGTCAACCGTTTTCAAGAAAAATGACTTTTTATGAACAAAAGCAAACATTTTGCTAACGTTTCGAAAATCTTTTGTAATTCAAAAAATAGGTAGTAATAATTAACAATTTTAACGAAATTTAACAACAGATAGGATTTTAACTTTTTTTTTTAATTTGGCGAGTAAAATTTACAGAAACTGTTCAAAATTACGTCCGTTGGCTTGAATGCACGCATTACATCTTCTAATCATGTTTCTTTCTGCCGCTGCGGCTTCACCTCTATCGGTCAACTTTTCGATAGTATTGACATGGATTTCATAAACGATGCATTTCGTTCTCCGGATGTTCTGTTCAGTTACTTGCACTTGCAAAATGTTCAAAATGCAAAATGCAAAAAGTAAAAAATTTTCGAAACGTTAGCAAAATGTTTGCTTTTGTTCATAAAAAGTCATTTTTCTTGAAAACGGTTGACTTTAGAGCAATGAACCAAGAGAACTCTTATTGTGTAAAATTCATTGGCGCTTTAGAATTTGCTGTCAAAAGTCAATTTTTCCAGTGGCGTAAAATTTAGGGGGGGAAAAACCCTTACGATACCTTAAAATCTCCACCACTGGCACGTCCAATGAATTCGAGAAGGGTGCGAAAAAGTAGCTATTAATAGTGGTAATGTGTGTACAAAAGCTCAGTCCTGTAGTTCAAACGATTCCTAAGATATTGGCGAAAAACTAAAAAAAAATTAAAGTTTTGACACCGTGTATCTCGAAAACGAAAGCCCGGAGAGAAAAATGGAAGAGGAAAATAATGTTTCTTTTTTCA